GCAGGTTCAAACAATGTCAAGAAAATTGACAAAGCAGAAAAGCATTAAAAAAACAATGTTTTGTTCAATCTAAACAGTAAACTGTAACTACATGCATAATGCAAACTGGATAAAACTTTGCTTGTTCATTCATTTCATAATGAAGTATTCACTAAGTGATTCAAAATCAACAATGCAATCATTTAAAATGTCAAGGACTATGTTTCAGTTCATGTTTTAGCCAGGTAGAGGGAACATTATTAAGTGAAACCTTTGAGAGATTACTGACCGCATGGACACATTAGGTAATAATAATGTTTCAGCCCTAAACACCCGCAAGTAATATAATAATAAAAATAATTAATAATAATGTAATAATAGTAATAACAATAATAACAACAACAATGACAATAATAATAACATTAATAATAACAACAACAATAACAACAATAAGATAACATACAGAACACCACTGATAACTTATTTTACCTTTGAGATCTTTATGAATAATTCCTAGGCTATGCAAATAGCAGACTGCTATAAGTACTTGAATAATATATAGATTTAGCCAGGGCTAAAAGCGAAGCTCCCATTAATCAATTTATAATTTAAATTAAACAATAAACTTGTAATCCACAAATCAGTTAACTCAAGGGCACATTCAAGTGACTTTGGAGGGAAAGGCTAAGTTATTTTAGAGTGAAACATCTTACATCGAGTTGATAGCCTTATATGTACACCAAAAATATAGCAAACATCTTCGATCACATTCAAGAGCCATAATGGCTCTTGATCAGAGCTGTAGATAAGGCCTCGAAAACAAATTCTTGGAAAACAAATCAGGCCGAATTTTTTTGCGTTCGACAGGTTTACTTTACAAATTCTTGCCAACAAATCTGGGGGTGTGTAAACCAACCTTTTATACTTTTTATACATCACATCTGAGGTGAAACAGTACGTACAATTTATCATACAGATCTCGTACAGAATGCGGTATTTCACAATTTTTCAAGACAAATTGCACTCAGTCAATGTTCAGGACGACCAATCGTGGGCTTTTAGCGAAACCGTTTAAAAAATTTCCAAAATCACCCATTCGGTCGGCCGGTTCTCGTTTCTAGTGCAAGCTGTCAGTGTGGTCAAGTGTTTGAATGAACTTTAATAGAGTTACGTTTCAACATAATAACGAATTTATTATTATTATTATTTTTGTTATTTAATGGTTTCAGTTATAAGGATGTGTAATCTTATAAAGCGTTTGATACGCGTGACATTTTTTTAAAGTACTCATGCAAGCGATGTTCATGAACGATGAAAACAAACGCCACGGACGAGCGATTAAAATTGCAAGAGAGTACTAACAATCAATAAAAGAAAGATAATTCGGTGAAACATTTAAAGAGACAACAATTTTCATTCACGAAGACAAGTATTAAAGTGTCTCTAAAAATCCTGAGTCTTTAAACTGAAAAGTTAATATGTTTTACTTTAATTTCAGCCGGCCTCCCGGTGTTTGCTTTTTTCAAAGATGCCACTTCTCGAAGGAAGAAAATCGCTCAAAGTTTTCTTTCTACAGCCAAATTTATAGCTAAATATTCTTCGGAACGTTTTCTCTCTATTTGCGGTGAGAAAATATATCTGAAGGCTTTTTAAAGTTCTGTAAGCTTATATCAAACCTGATACTAGGTCAGATCATTGACTCAAATCTTACAAACGTGCATAAACTTGCTGCATAAACTGTGCTCGACTTCATGAAATTAGATATAACAAAAACAAACATCAAATACAATAATTACTCAGGCTTACCATTCGAGATTCAGTTCCTGAAAGATATTAAGGAAGGCCACAGTTGCTTGAGACTTTTAAGCCGTCTTACGCATTAAGCAAGGTGGAAAACGAAAACGATGCAATCCGAAATCGGATCACCGAATTTTGACAAGCGACGCATTTCTCAACCAAAAACCCAATAAAGAAACCAGCCATGAATAATAGAAGACTCTTGATAGCAGCTGAATTTCATTTTGTACATCCAGTGGAAAAGACAGTTAAATACATCACAAGTTGACACAAAACTCTGTCAACTTCAGCTGTCAAAGTAAACAACTTTCATGATGCTGCATAAATTTTCCGCATGAACTCACCTGTCAATTTTTGACCAATCAGAGTATAAAAATTGGACGTAGAGCGTGACCAACGCGTGACCATGGTAAAAAACGGTCTTCCCCGCCTGTATTTTTTAAAAAATGGCTGAATTTTCCCGTCCGAGGTCAGTTTGAAATCAAAGTCTTAACAGTGCGGGGCCATAGTGACATAAACGCAACATATTTCATATGAATCATTGGAAAAAATGAACTTGAGCTTACGATCATTTGAAACTGGTAATTTGCCAGCGGATAACTTCAAAAAATAGTGGACCTCGATGGGTGAACACTTGAGCCCGTGGTACGGTCAGGTGATACTGGTAAGCGGATACCCTGTTTTGACAGCTGTCAATTGATCAAAACATTGATGTGCAATCATGTGCAATTAGTTTTCTCTTGGGCTTCCAAACTAGCTAGAAAGTATGACAGTAAACATTGGTTGGCCTGTGGTGCGGACGGACGGTCGGGCGTACGGTCACGTGATTACCAAATTTTCTTGGATGGGTAGATTACCACATTTCCTTACCTATGGGGCTCCGCCCACGCGCGCGCTTCGCGCGCGGGTGGAGCTCCGCTAAAAAAATTCATGGCCTCTTTATCTGTAAGCCTTCGGTTTAATTCCTTCATGTAGGTAAAGAGGCTGCCATCTGCCAACAAAAAACATAGTAGGTGATCAGCCATGTCTAAGTTATGGTTAAGTCATTTGTAAGTTGTTAAGTGTACAGGAGTTAACCTTTTAGCCCCAAAAGAGACCAGCTTCTAATTTCTCCAGACAATATTGTTGAATCAAACACAGAAGTAATGAGAAAATAAAATGATCACCAAAAAATGGAATATATTCATGTTTGAACAAATTCTCTCAAATAGATCTCACCTTAAGAAAGTTAGTAGGGACCTTTAAGATCCGACGACGGTGAAGGCAACGGGAACATCAAAAAAGCAAAAGGTTAAGATTTGCAAAACAACTACTTTGCACATGCATCACTCTTTTTTGTACATTTCTTTGCCGTCACTGCATGAGTATGACGTGAAAATGCCTTATTTCAAATTTTATGGAGGACGTAAACAAGCTACTATGAAATTTTCTTTCTCATTCTGAACTTGAATATGGTTTTTAGGAGTTCAACTCCTGGAGAGTTCGCCTACATTTGACAAAGTAATTGAGTTGGAACTGCAATGAAGACTGGATGAATGCCAATTCACTTTTTAAGCAATGTTTTGGCTGCCGTCGCCGTCCTCGGATCTTAAGGTCCCTAGTACAGAGTATGGGGAGGACTGAATGAGGAGAATATGCATGTTGATAGGGGGGTTAATATAAGCAGTCCAAGTTCCGTTAAATATTGTTGTATCCTTTGTTGATTTGGGTTAAACAGTTCTTAACTGAATAAAAGACAAAACAAACTTGCAATCATGACCATTTTCTGGTCCTTTATCAGCCTCCAGTCAAAAAAAGCATTGTAATCAACAGATAAACTCAAAAAACATGAGAAGAACATACCACAAAGCTCCATGAAAATGTTAACCATTTTGTGTTCACTGCTGAAAGCTACTCCATAGTGAGTAACAAGGTGTGGGTGGTCTTCTAATTTTTCATACACCTTCACTTCCTCTACGCTAAAATTTGTCTAGAGTAAAAAGAGAGACAATAATAAAGTGGAAATAAGAAAAGTTAAGATGTGTAGCTGGTACAAATAAAGTAATAGAAAAGAAAGCGTTTTTTTGCTCAAAAAAAAAATTCAAAAATAGAAGTCCATTTTGCAAGAACATCGTCAGATCACAAGGTTCCTTATGGCCACGGCCATTGCATATGTAACAGAAGTTTACCTTTTTCATAGCGAACTCTTCTCTTGTGCCTGATTCCAAGTACCAGTAAGCCGGGTACACAGTTCCATTTACACCAGCTCCCAGGCTTTGATTCCTTTGAACGTGATAATCTTCATCTTCTTTAACCTTTTTTATGGGTGGACGTTTAGGATGCTGAGAAGAGAATTAAGAGAACCAAGCTTTACCTAAAAAGTAGAGAATGGACCTTAGGGAGCTGGCTAACAGCATTTTTGTATAAATAGTGAGCTTGTACAACAGGACAGCTAAAGGAAATTCCCCTCCCCCAGCTTACACATGTTAAGTCCAGGAAAATATCATTGTATACATACAAGCTCAGTTCAACATTGAATGTGAGTTGGGTAGGGGATGAGATAGATAGGCTTGCTTTTTCATGATTGTAGCTACAGTCGACTCCCGATAACTTGAACCTGCTAGGGAAATCGAAAAATGTTCGAGTTATCGCGAATTTTAAGTAAATAACAGGAAATAAGAAAAATATGCAAATGCATGGGGAGGGAATGCAATTAAGCAACAAAGTATACAGGAATGGATGAAATGGACACTGAATTTGAACTGAAGTGACAAAAACATAAAGAAAAAGAATTGACGTGGTTACTTTGAAATAAATTCAATGTCTCAGACTTCAGTACAAGGTTTTTTTCCTGACTTGTCACATGCTTATAACATGGTTCGAGTTATCAAGGGTAAAATTATATAGAAATGATCTGAAGGGAAACGAAGATTACTTCGAGTTAGTGGGAGGTTCAACTTATCAAGGGTGAGTTACCAAGGGTAAAATTACAGTAAATGTATGAAGGAAATCCAGGGGAAATTGACTTTGGTTCGAGTTTGTGTGAGGTTCGGGTTAGCGGGAGTCAACTGTATTTGTATTAGGAAATGGGATTTTGTTCAAGACCTTCCACACAGAGAAAACAACCTCCCCGAAATTCGGTTAATGCCACCAAATTGTGGGTTAATTGTCTCAAAGAAAGGGTAAAAGCACACATTGTTTCTTCATGCAATGCTTTCCTTAGAATTGAATTCAGTCATTCAGAGTTAAGTCATTTGTATATTATAATAAATTACCCAAAATAGAACTGTGCCACAATATGGATTTTTGCTTGAAAAGCCATTATCTGCACTGGTCGATTTCTGGTGTTGGCTTTTGCGTTTCCCTGGTGTGAGTAAATTGTTTTCTCTACCCAAGGTACACGTTAGTAGTGCAGGAACTTTCTGTTGAACTGTACGCCTAGGAACAGGATACCCAATGTTTCCACGATTCCTTTTAAGAACATAATATATTATAAAAAGGTGGACATAACACTTAATCATATATTAAAAATAGGTAAAAATAGGCTATTCCATGGAATAGATGATGACAAAGTAATATAATATTGTGTAGAACTGCTTGATCCCAAATAAATATCTGTAACCTTAATTTTGGTCAACTTTTCATCAACAGATAATGGTCTTCCACAATGATTCATTGCACTCATCCATGACACCAAGAAAACCCTCCAAGTTGCGACCATTTTAGTCACCATGGCACCTAAAATTTTGGAACTGGCCACTTGATTTCGAGAATAGTCGCCAAGCTGGCGACCGTGCAGAATAGGTTCGTGTTGGCGTATAGAAACAGAAATGGCAATCACTTCTACTGAAATATGAAGAACATTTATTCCAGCTGATTTGAATTCTATTACTTTTTTACTTTTCCACTGAAAAACATGCTAAATTGAAAACTTAAAAAAATCTCAGAGCTTAGCGTTTTGAAAATGAACATCAATGAAACTTGACTTGCATTCGTTCGCCAAATCGCCTTCAGTCTGTTGCCTTGCACGTGACATTTTAACTTTTGACACGTGAAAAATGGCACGCACTCGAAGCACCTTGCTTGTCGACAGTGACGATTTCTTCGATATCTTAGGAATGCTTGTCAAGCCAAGTTCGGTGGTTTTTTAACTGGACTACATATTATAAATATTTTTGAATCAATACTGAAACAATCTAATAACATGAAGAGGGAAAGCTAAATTGGTGCAAATTCAACACAGAACATTATGTGATAACCGTAACATGTGAACCATGCTGCGAGTTGAATCGCGGTTTTGTAAACAAAAGCGATAAATGTAAGCGAAACTAAACATCGCAAAACTGGTTGCAAAAAATGGTTTTTTTAAACACCTGTAGCGATGATAAAGGAAAAAGAAAATTTTTATTTTGTAAGCGGCATTTTTGTTTGGGTTCCTTTCAATTGATTGGGAAAAACATTTTTTCCCAGTACAACTCGTTGCGAAATTTCCACGTATCTCTATAAAGCAATGATTTGATTTACAAAACTTGTTGATCTTCCTATACTCTCCTGCCTTTTTCAGGCTTTCGCGATGTCTAGCGATATTAAAAACGACCTTTTAAATCTCCAAAAATATTTGATAGTTGGGGAAACAAGTTCATCATCAACAAAAGTCGCAAAAGAAATGCGAAACAAATATCAGAAAAAAAAATAGGTCGCCTATCAAGTTGCGACTGGGAAATTTTGAACACATTAACAGAGGATGAGTTAAGTTCTGCTCTCATATACCAACTGGGGATTATACAGAAGGATTGAAGGTCCCAAAGACAACTGGAAATGGTAATTGTCTTTACAATTCCGTTTCAGTATTGATTCAAGGAGATAAATCTGCAAACCTTATTCTCAGACTATCAGTAACTAATGCCTTGCACAATAAACGAGTAATTTATAGACAGTGCTGCATTTTAAGTTAAACTTGCTAACTGCTTTTGTTGATGACAATTTTGATATATTAATTTATTAATATAATTTGGCGCCTAAAAATTTCCCCTGGCGACTAAACCCAAAGAGCTGATCGCCAAATGGCCACTGAACAAAAATTTTAACTTTGAGGGTTGCAAGAAACTGCCACTTATTCACTGTAAGCTAACAGTTTTTTGAGGGGAGCTTTTTCATGCAAAAGGTTGTCTATGTGCATAGTGTAGTTACCTAGTATTTTCACAGCCTGGAACTCGACATGTCCCTCGCACCTGACATGTCTGTGCATGATGCTGTATGACTGACAACAGGTAGGCACACCGAGTACATTTTCTTGCATATTGATGTCTTTTAAAGTGATTTACTTCTAATTTCACCTGTTGAACAAAATGTATGAGAAATACCAGATAAAATTAAAACAAATTTGATATAAAATGACTAGCAAGAGAATCGAAAGAAAGTTATTACACTTTTAAGTATGGATTGCAACTGTTAATAGTTGTAACCACAACTTACATCTCTACATTTCTTGTTGTGACAATTTAGTTTCCTACAATATGATGCATGCTGCAGGTCTGCAGGCGAAACATCAACCTTAAAATGAGAAATGACAAGAGAAAATGAGCACTTTATCATGACAGCCAATGCTAAATACTTAAATAAATAGTCTATCATATTTCTTTAATAAAAGTTGGCAATAATCACTTTAATTTCAGTTTAGTCACTGAGTGGACAAGAAGGTAAACACGTGTCAAAACCACTGTGGGGGTGGGGGGCGGGGAGGAGGAGACTCCTATATAAAAATGACAGGGATGCTCGTCAGAAAATTAAAATTGAACCCCTGTGAATGTGGCCCGAGCTTAAACTGACCATACTAAAATAGACATTTACATAAGAGCTAGGGATCTAAATGAGTGCCAGGGATGTTGTGTTGTTTTTAGATGCTAGATTCCTGTGCGGTCAATGTCACAGCATTTTCTGTAAATTTCTTTATACACAGCCCTAGGTGATACCTGAATAAGCAACTAAAGTGACTTTCCATCCTAAACAACACCCTAAGTGAGACCAAAATCTGCAATTTACACCCCTAAGCAAGACAGCGAGCATTCCCGTCATTTTTATGGGAGAGTCCACCCCTTCCCCCACACCAGGTTCACGACATGTCTTCGAGAGTTATAATGATAATTACAACCTTGTGGCTTTCCATCGCTGCTTTTCCAACATCGGTGTTATTGTACTGCTCAGCAACGTCCAATGCAGCAGGAGATCTATCTTCAGAATCCTCTTCCATCTTAATCCTGGCCAGGTGTCCATCATTCTCCTCTTTCTTCCCATCTATACTCCTTAATAAACCAGTGTTGATCAAAAAAGTTATGATGGAAAGAAAATGGATCTTGTGTAATTTGTGTACCCCTCGTTTGATATATTGGTTGACATATCTGCCGATATACATTGACCGACATGCGACTGTTATCTCGGTCAATATATCAGTAGATGCATCGGCTGATATATCGGTCGAGTGTAGGTCAATATGTCAACTGACTATCGGCTGATATTTGGTCAGTATATATGGTAGAATTTATTGCCTTGCCGATCCGCACTTTGTTTGAAAGCCATTAGATCATTATACTTGGCCAAAACAAACTCCACCGATTTAGTCGGTACACAGATGTTACAATTCCCCCAAAGAAGCCTGTGAGAAGATGGGGCAGAACAAGGATAACTGCACTGCTCAGCAGATGCTACTAACCTAAGTTAAATTGTCTGCGACGCAGGCCACAGTCCACCAAGTACCCAAGTATCAACGAAGTATCGGCGGAATGTCGGTAGCCTATTGATCAACATGTCGGCCGACAATCGGACAACCACTCTCAGTTGACACATCGATGGACACTTGACCGATATGTTAGTCGCTATGTCGACCGATAAGTGACCAATATATTGGTCAATATGTCTACCAACATATCGGTCGCGTGGCGGTCTATATATCAACTGAGATATCGGTTGTGTGACAGTCGACATATCGACCAATATACCGGTCGATATGTTGATCAACATATCGACTGAGGGATGCAAAGATCCAAGAAAATTAGACCATTTTTTTAAAAATGTTTTTGAAGGTCATTGTTGATCAAAAGGGTCATGTTGGAGAGATACAGTATTTTGGGTGACTTCTTCTTTAGCTTGAAATTGCTTTCGATCATTTTTTCAATGCAGTCAAGATTAAGCAAATCATACTTTCTGATTGGCTATCTGAACTGGCAAGGTGGACCTATCTTAAGCACTCAGGATTTTCGGTGTTTGTCCCCCAAGAGAAAGTTCTCTTTTTGGTGAGAATACAAAATGTTTCAGTTGAGATGGGTGGATATTGTCTTTATGGATCATTATACATTTCTGGAGGGGTAGGTGGACAGTTTCCCAGAAATGTACAATGATCCATCTTTTTCTCAGACTGTTAAAATGCCAAAAAAAAAATACCCATCTTGACCTAATCCTTGGTCAATAAAGCATATTATATATGTTACATGTAAAAATTAAGTTCAGTGTAATAATAACCACAACAAACTCTCCCACACTCAAGTTTAACGATTGAGAAACCACTACTGAAGAAGATACTGAAGACATGCAAAACCCTAATTAATGCAACGTGGATTTCATATGTTATTCAATCACCTGATTCTGTCACAGTGTTCAACCCAGCATCCTTGAAATTGACACTGTTTTGCATGTTCTTTGATAACGGCACTCACACTTTTGCAGCTTGGACATTTTTCCCATCCTGGATGGTTTTTCATGTGATATTTAATTTGCAGTTTAACCTGCAAGATATACGTGGGAAATCCCTGGTTATTAGAGGTAGTATGTTTAAGTAATCATAATTATTTGTAAATAATCAGCTAATTCAACCTCTGGGTTGCAATGTGGTTGTAGATAAACTATCTATCTAAAATTAAATTAACTGTAAGTATAATCATAGGGAACAAGCAACTACTGATACAGCACTGAAAACAATAATTTATACTAAAGAAAATAAAAAAGAAATGAATGATTGTGTATAAAAATTCAAACAAAACGTAGCCGTTATTAGCTCCATATTTTATTCCAGAAAAAAATAAATTTAGATTTACTTGAAAACTACAACAGTAGCTTTCAGGCTGTAAAATCAACTTGCAATTTAATGATTGCTTTATCAGAAAACAATACTGTTTTTTATCATACTGCAATTGTACTGTAAGAGATCACTTTCAATTGAACTCTATTGTTAAATCAAGTGTTGAGTCTTTTATGTTAATAACAAGCCTTAAAATATTCGCAATTGCTTTTACTAACATAATTATTTGTAGGTGCTCGAAATAATTTGTTTGGATGAAGACTTTGTCATGGTCGCTTCAATACTTTCATTTTTCCTAAGCTATGGTAAGTAGAAAATATCAGCAAGGAAAGAGACAGGGGTATTGTTTATAGGTTGTTCAGCTGTACATTTATCTTACTGGCTTGATTTTTATGAGGCTTAGAGGCAAAGTTAAAGTCTAAAACATTAATGCCGGCCAGCAGTTTTGATTGTAGTGGCCACATTCTACAGGGGAAGGCTTGGTAGCTGGATTGGTTTGATGACTTTACAGGGATGACATTGCTGAATTTCATTGCATTTTTCATTGCATAATTAAGTGTTTTGCATCTCCCTGCACTGAGCTGATTTCTTCCCTGTCTATCACTTCCTTTTAGGTAAGTATGTGCTGTTTTTTTAATTTCTCCTGATCTATTTGGTCAATGTGACAGTGACGGTGGTGGTTGCTGCTCACCGGTTGCTATGGATATCCTCTAAGACACCTACACCCAACCTCATCTATTGTTGATGAGTTTAAATTTTATTATAGGTTTTACTATAATAATGCTAAGCATGTTTTGGTGGGTTTTTGTGTGTGTGCTTTTTATACTGAGTACACTTTATGATGGCCAGCAAGCAGACATGATGAACATGTATATCATACTTATAACACTGTGCACTTCTGGACATCTGCAAGAAATCCTCTGGGTGGAACAGTACAGTCAACTCTCTCTTAGATGGACACCTTTGGGATTGGGACTTCGGAACACCTTTGTGTCTGTCTTGGAGAGATGTCTGTCTTACAAAGAGTCAAATAAAGGGAGTAAAGAAAGGTAGGGACCAACTCTAGGTGTCCATTAAGAGAGAGTTGACTGTACTTGAAAAGCAACTCACATATTTGCATTTCCACTTGGGGCAGTCTTTTAAATGACAGTAACTGGAATGATCAAGTTCAGCAGGTGAAAATTCAAACTGCAATAAAATAATACACAAAAGGTTTCAGTGTGTAAATAAAACATGTTGGCACTCACCTCATATTCAACCCTTCCTGTCAAAGCCATGATTGTAAAACCAGAACAAGAGGGGAGTGTGCATGCATATCACTACGAGCCAGCTACTGGTTAATTTTACTGGCTGAAAAAGAGCTTACCACTGTCTCAAATATAATATCATTGCTCTGAAAACAATGACATGGGGGATTTTTGAAGGAAAAGTTGACGGATGTAAAAAGGCCCTATCTAACTCTTGATCTTAAGTCATAACCATATCTGTTTCACTAGAAAATTACCCAAGGAGATTTGTGATGTTAGTGGCCAATCAGAAGTCACCTGAGTTAGCTTTTTGAGATACCTTTCAAAGATAATGATAATATTACTATAGATACGCGGAAATTAAAAAGTGAAATCAACAGCATAAAAGAAGTTTGGAAATAAAAATCCTAAATTTCTTATAAATTATTGCGTGGAATTTCTTCATAGTTACTGATCATTTTCCAGGGAAGTACTATCACTGTAGATCTGGAAGAGTCATTGGTTGAAAAAGCTTGTTTAGCTGCACTTATACTTTTTCAACGCAATATAATAGTACAATATTATATAGATCAAGCAAACACATACATGTATGAGTAAATTATTTAAAATCAACAAGACAATACTGTTTGCTACAGCTGAGAACTTTAGTTTGGTACCTTAACAGTGTAAAATAAAAGGATCATGGTACCTGAGAGCTTGTGTCAGTTTTTTTAGGTTTCTCGTCTACCTCCATCTTTTCCTCTTCACTTCTGTCGTCGTCGTCGTCGTCGTCGTCGTCGTCGTCGTCGTCGTCGTCGTCGTCGTCGTCGTCGTCGTCGTCGTCGTCGTCAACATCATCAACATCGACATCGACATCAACATCGTCATCATCATCATGGTCATCATCATCATCATCATCATCCTCAACATCGACATCGACATCAACATCGTCGTCATCATCATGGTCATCATCATCATCATCATCCTCAACATCGACATCGACATCAACATCGTCATCATCATCATGGTCATTGACATCAAAATTAACATCGACATCATCATCATCATTCTCATCACCTTTACTACCACCACCATCATCATCATCATCATCATCATCATTTTCTTCATTGCCATCGTAACCTCCATCTTGATCACCATACAGGGATAAACACTGTATTTGAATTGGACTGAAAATAAAAAAGTATAAAAGACAAAGAATACACGATTGACAAGCATGCTTTAAAAACTAATAAATTAAATGTTTTGGACTGCAGTACACCTTTTTTTTTTTTCAATTTGCCACGTGCTTAAAGCATAGTTTGAGATAATGGGGTAAAATTATATAGAAATTACCTGAAGGGAAACAAAAATTTCTTTGCGTTAGTAGGAGGTTCGAGTCCCAAGCATTCAAGTTACCGAGAGTTGAATGTATTTATTTTTTGGGGAATTTTGTTCTACATATATACAGTATTAGCAGGTCCAGTCTGAAACAAAACACCAAAAATAATTCCTAATTGGATACATGTTGTAGTTTACATTTATTTTTTTATCTCAGGTGATTTTTGTTTTTGTTTTGTTTTGGGGTATGGTACTGTATGCTAATGAAGTCGAAACAAAAGAAAAATAAAAATAACGTGAGATGAAAAATTAACTACAACATACACAAAAAGGAGATAGCTAACGCTAGCTATATTTTTACAAAGAGACAACAATAACATGAAGTTTTGTCGTGAGTAACCATGACGAGATGTCACATACACGTACAAATTAAATGTACCACTCATTAACTTAACTAACACTTAAATGCCCTCATATTCAATAATATGAATTGAAACGACACTTTTAAAATTTCAAAAAATCCCTTCTCCAGACTACAATAAAAAACTTACCTTGTGAAGGTACTGAAATTGTGCTCATCTTCGTGTGGTTCTTTATAAGAAATATACTCCGTATCTGGATACACAACAGTGATTCTTCCATGACCAGTCTCCTGCTCATCTACACACATTGTAGGATAGGCCAGTTGCTCACTACTGTCCTTAGTACATTCTACAATAAATAGAAGACACAACAATTTAATAAACATCTTATTCATTGGACTTGGTTACAATGCAGTCAATTGCATTTTCAGGTTAACAGGCATCTTAATGAATTCCCAAAAGTATAATAATTATTTTGTGCACAATAACTGAAACTCCACAACAAGAAATTATAAAGGTCATGCAATGTTGTTCTCAAAAGCCTCCACAAAAGCATACACCATATTATATAAGCACCCGCCTGAGAAAAAGGCAAAAAACCATGTGATGTTAATCAAAAATTCCCATGAAAATCTAAAAACTACTAGGTTCAAAAGGAAAAAAAAAATATATATATTCCAGTAATTCTGCACCTACCCATGACTAGACACTGAATATTTTTCTAATGAAAGTACAAGATTACCAAACCATATGTTGTAGAATTAATTTATCACGTTAAAAAAGCAACCTACATTTTAAAACAAATTTTAGTCACCCAGGAATACAAAAACGGGCATGAAATACTTCAGAGTATGTAATAATTTCTTATTTGTTAGAATGTTTTTAAAGACCATTTATTTTTGTTTCAATACTGATGGAATATCTGCTTTAAGCAACTTTTGTTACTTTTTTTGTCTGTTCAAGCATTTTCTGCTCCTCTCTGTCTTTGATTGTTAATTGTTAAAATGTTAGAGACTGCACTTTGTTTTGCATTGAAATACTGAAAAAACACTAACAGCAAGATGTACATGTATGTAATCCTTCTTTGTAAATGTGATGCATTGGTCTGACTATTACATAAATGTAAAATTTATAAAAGTACCATTCCGTGGATTCCTATAATAAAGGGTTGTCCCTGCTGCGACTGTTCTGCCTGTGACCATTGGTGTGCCTGTTTGAGGCCATTTTGTCCCTGACAGTGTGGTAAGTGTTATCCCTGTGACGAATGGTTTGCCTGCAAGAAGAGCTGTTCCTGCTCAGTAAAAAACCAAAGATTTCACATTACTTTTAAGCACCCATTACATTAAAGGGAAGAGTTACTTTCTGAATTACAGGTAGAAGGTACTGTGTCACAAGGTCCAAAAAGTCATGTGGTAATCTGGTTAATCACTAAAGGATAAATGAATTGGTTAACGACAATTTCATAACATGTAACAAATGGAGAAGGATACACCATCGCAACATGTCTGGTAAATTATGTGGCTATCTGAATTGGAGATATTTTTCTTAAAAAAAATTCTAGTATTAACCAGTACCTGTAAAACTCACTCCTGTACAATTTTTTTTTACTGGAAATCAAACTGCCCTTTCCTTGTGATCAAGATTCATGTATAGAATCAACAGTGAGTGCTGATGCTTTCACAGAAAACCTGAGCATGACACCCTTGTTCCCGCATGTCTCTCACAAGAATGCATCAGTAAATACACAACTCAGGGACATGTTGTACCCTTCAGCAACAATGAAAATCGACATCAATACTGTATTGTCTCAATTAAACGCCACCGGTGTTTGATTCAAATTTGCCCTTGTGCACTGGGGTTTGTTTGAATTTGCAGTTTATTTGAGCTTACTGTTACTAAAAAAAAGTTTTTATGCCTTCTTCTTGACAGCCGTGTATCTTGCCTTTATACCGCTAGTTTATTATACCACAAATAAACATCTGGGGGGTGTATCTACCACTTCCCCTCCAAGACCCGGCATTTATTTGGGGCCCGGCGCTAAATCTAAATGTAGAAAATACGGTATGTTGTTTCCATGCCAGGTTGTAAGTTTGGGTTGGAGCTGAAGTGCGATTCTCTGTCAATGCAAAGAAATACCCTTAATCTTTAAGTGGTTGCAAAGATGGCGTGTGACATGAATAAAGGTCTATTAGTAACTCGGGGATAGATAGAATAAAAACAATAATTTTATCACATGGTTTCTCAGGGGGCAAACAAGTGATAAAATTTGCCAATTGAAGAAATCATGATCGACTTTGTTCATCCTAGACAACAGAAAATGAAGAACTTTTCTTATCTTTAAGACAATAAAGTGTAATGGCAAACTGTGGGTGGAAGTGATCATTGTTACTTTTTTAAATGTACAACTGTAGTAGAAACTGTACATGTAGATGTCCTCACAGCAAGCAATAATGATGTAAAATTGCAGAACTCAAACTGTATGTTTCGCATGTCTATTAATTCATCATCACATTTTGTAGCATTGGACACAAGAAAGAAGATGATGTGTTAGCGAGTATTTGTCGCACGCCCCATTCTTTTCGCATATTAGGGACCTTAGGCAACAAGAATGTTGATGTCTCGGACGTCAAAAAATTAATGGTATCCAGAAGTGGATATTTTCCCTATTTTAGTGCTTTGACTTGATAAATTCATATGGTGGGAGTTAAAATAAAGGAATTCAGATTTGTTGCGTGAGACAGAAGCACTCCATTAAGTGAGACATCAAACTTCCGTGTACAATTTCTGGCGCCCGGAATGTCAGCATTCTCGTTGCTTAAGTATGCTATTACTTAGTATGCAAGGTCTTCGCAATCGTGGTTGCAATTGTTGTGAAAGAAAATGCTATGTTTCGTAGTTATCGCAGACAGTTTTTGAAATCTGCATTTAAACAACAGTTTTTGCCTTGACAGGATAAAAAAGCATGAAACAAATGAGGCGCATTTTATTGTGAAAAACTAATAAACCTGTTAATAACTTGAGCTACCTCAATGTTTTACTTTCTTGGATTGAAGTGGGCTATTAAGAGGTTGACTTGGACAACCAAAATATTCCATGGGCAACTGTACCAAGTGTTGTGGTTGCGCCAGGGGCAACTGAATATTAAAGACATAAGTAAATTTCAAACCCTGTAAACAAACTGGCCTGCGATTACTCGTATCAGCAAATTTTATCACTTGTTTGACCCCTGAAATACCTCATCACATTGCTCTTAACCCATCAATCCTAAAGCTCACGCAAAGATGGCGGGTATCATGAATAGGGTCTACTGCATACTACACTTACCTACGTCATCCGAGTATGACTGGGAACAATAGAAGCAAAGGCCATCCGCCAAATTGGTTTCTTGACACTTGTGGTCAAGAAATCTTTTATCACAAATTAAATTTACTTTTTACAAGAGTGACAAACTTTGATGCAGATGATGGCAGAGAGGATATCAAAGGGAGTTATTCTGGAGTAAAAAGAACCATTCAATGCCGACGACTAAAGGGAAAACATTGTGGAGACCATTGAACAGGCTTTGATTTTTGGGGAGTTGCGAGAATTAGCGAGTAGAAAGCGTTCCAATAAAAATATAGCAAGTAATTCATGGTAAAATAAATGACTACTCTAGAGTGGAGTGAGTACTACCGGTAATTAAATTTTATATTCAATACTAAAATAAACCTGACTAGTTCAATCGATAAAAACTGATATCGGAAAACCATTCGCTAAATCGATTAACTATTGATAATTCAAATTTAAACGTTATCAATTTTATCGATCAATCAAAAGAAATCACTACTCACAACCATCACTGCCCTTTTAAGGTATTGAATTTATCATTTTCATTAAGGACCGTATATTGTTGACACTTGTAAATGCAAAATACCAGTTCTTCCAAGACAGCGTTTAAAAAACAAGCTGTGTTTTTGCTGATGCGTTTAATAAGGGGCTTACATCTGTTTTATCTGGGTGTCTTAAGACCTTCTCCCTCGCTCAAAGCCCGGAATTGTACGTCCACTGTACTACT